TGTTAGAGCTAGCTTGCCCTTGGCAAATACAAATCGCGTATTTGTTATTCACTTTTGAGCTCAAACATGCCAGAGCCGCATAAACTTTTGTCGAGTCACAAACATGTAGCTGCTTCTCTTCTTCAGCCTTAATCTTCCACAGGATAACTATTTTTCCTGATTCCCACTTGCTCATTATTTGTTCAAATTGTTCGCTTGCCTTCTTTCGAGGTAGGTATCTATCCCATTCGCAGTTTGATTTCCAAAGAGTTTGCACAAAACGCTTCAGCGGAAGAAGAATCGTTGATAACGTTCCGAGAGGGTGATGCAGCAGAATTTTTCGTTTAATTCGCTTTTCTTTCAACGATGGCTTCACTCCAATGGGAGTCATGTCCTCTTGAAGTATCCCAGTCAACTTTCAATGCTCTGATATTTCTGCTTCTTTCTTGATCTTCTTCTGAAGTTAAACCGTTGAACTGCTGATTGTTGGACTTAAACTGTCTGTTGTTCATTGAGACATATCTTTCTCTTCGCTTCGTCGAAACTCTCAGCCAACATCAATACATTATCCACTTACAAGTTCCATAATGCCTGCCTTATCGTTTAAGCGTCGATTAGCCTTGATGCAACATTGCCATGAGCAAAAATGATGGCTAACAACTTCAAATGGAACCCTTGAGAACCGATAAATAATAATGTTCTGTGTTGATATTGGACTGGTAAAATTACATGCCCACAAAACGCAAGTGCCGTTTCGATCTTCTTCTTTCAGTTCCAACCGTAGAAAAGTCTTCTCTATATTGCAAATAGTAGCAGCACCCAACATTCTAAACCATAACGCGATTCCTATTAATTCTGAAAGAATAATTGGACCGCGATAATGGACATCACTGAGACTTCGATCATTGCCAGACTTTGCAGAAGCGTCAAATGCAGTCCTTAGTTTAATAGTGATTTTTTGTGGCATAACAACTTCATGATGGGGAATAAAGTAAATAATTCCCTGGTCATTCATTTACTCGGTGACTTGTTCAATGATTCCCGTTTTTTCTTGCTCTTTGAACGTTTCACTATACTTTTTAAGGAGAGCTAGTTTGCTTCCAAGGTGTTTGATAATTGATTTAAGACGTCATAATAACTATTTAACCGAATATTCTCAGATTTTCATGGCTACTTTGCTTGGTACCACCTCGTATTGATTCTTGGAACAATTTGAGTGCTACACATCACCGTCATTTTCTTGAGGTACATCACTGATACCTATTGTTTCTAAATGCCAAAATTTTTTCACATCGTTTTCATTTTCAACGATGTTGCTTATTACAGCAGCCTCTGAATTCATTAATTTGGTTTTGAGCACTCTCCCTACTTCCAGCGAGCACTAGCCCTACTTTTGATTGTAGTAAATAGAATCCTGACGGTGCCTTTGGCTCTCCCAGAACATTTAACTTTCAGACGCTCAGCTTCTTTTTGACAAAACGGCAACTGAGGTCCGACGTCAAAGAAAGCTAAAGCTCTGATTTTTTGTTCGGATACTTTGGACTTGTAGGTGTAACTTCTCAACATAAAAGGAGCACTTTCCTGTTGTTTATATTCCGATTGTCTGCCACAGCAATACTCGTGATCATTCGTTCTTCTTTAATCAATTGAACTCCCATCACTTCCTTCTTTGTTATATGCGTTTTTTGCAGCATTGCAATGCGAAAAACGCATATTGACGAGAGGTTGTCTGTGTGTGTGTGTCTGTGTGTCTATG